TATGAAAAACACACTATCGTTTTGATGCTTTTAAAAAATCAGGTTTTGGAAAATTACTTCTATCCAAACATGTGACGTTTTCCGGGGGTTTGAAGCATCTACAGCCTCTAACACAGTACTACGGACTCTGAGGAGCACAGGGACTGGCCTTATGCTGGGACTCTGAGGAGCACAGGGACTGGGCACCTGCTGGGACTCTGAGGAGCACAGGGACTGGCCTCCTGCTGGTCCCAGAGTCAGGACTAAACATGGAGACTCAGCATTTCAGATTCACGCAGGGAAAGTCTTGAGCAGTCTTCCTGAAAATGTGAAACAGTCTTCTTCTCTGACAAATCCAGGTAAAGTCTGACAGATTTTATATTTACTTTTTGATTATTTATTATAATTATTAAACAGCAGCAGCAGACGAGTCGCTAAAACCCATTAAATATACCATGAGGATCTGCCAATGCATTTAACTGCACTCAAGATACGGTAAAAAGAACTTGCTAACTTACATTTAAATGACTTGTATTGTGCTATGGCAATGTGTAAAATGTTCAAGTGACCGAAATGAACTTAATTCATTCAAACTTCATTCTTTCTTAACTTTGTTCGTTCATTCTGTGCATTTTAGCAACACTTCCATCTTAAGCTGCGACACAAATGCCTTTTATCGAGGTTAAAACTTTGCAGCAAACTCGCTTTCAGACACTCATGTTGCACATATTTCTAACTCTTTCCCGCCGAAAGAAGAGAAGAAAGAGTGAGAAAGAGTGTAAACGTAAGCGGAGTGGAGCTAGCATGTCCGCGGCTAATCGTTTTGTCGCCGTGGCCGCTTCTGGTGTCGTTCACAGACTCTGGGCCCGACGACCCGCGGACAAAGGCGCGTACGCACAAACAGACCCCTGCTTTGTTCAGGCCCATCCCCCGGTTTTAGCGCCGGCGGAACGGAAATGATGGAACATGACAGAGCAGAACGTGTGGCATCATCGCCTTGGTCTTTAGTGGAAGCGTTTGCGTCTCATGGTAGAGGCGGAAATCCAACTGGAAAACATGCCAGCGATTCAGACCCAAATGTAATTCAATTCAATGTATTCTGAATCACAACAGCAGTTATCTCGGAGCACTTTACAAAGCTGTCGATTTGCCAACAACAGAAAACAAAACATATTATGATTAGTTTGATTCTCTGATCTTTGTTGGCGAATCGACAGCTTTGTAAAGTCCTCCTACAGCATAAACAACTACTTTTGTGATTTAGGGATACGCAAAAACACATTGAATTGAAGAGAAAAACAAACAAATGCTCCTCTTTCTCAAACATATTGGAGTCATGTAAGACTGTCTCTCTCTCTACTGTCTCTCCTCTATCCTCTCTCTCCTGTCTCTCCTCTCTCTCCTCTATCCTCTATCCTCTCTATCCTCTCTCTCCTCTCTCTCCTCTCTCCTCTCTCTCCTCTCTCTCCTCTATCCTCTCTCTCCTCTCTCTCCTCTCTCCTCTCTCCTCTCTCTCCTCTCTCTCCTCTATCCTCTCTCTCCTCTCTCCTCTCTCCTCTCTCTCCTCTCTCTCCTCTATCCTCTCTATCCTCTCTCTCCTCTCTCTCCTTTATCCTCTATCCTCTCTATCCTCTCTCTCCTCTCTCTCCTCTATCCTCTCTCTCCTCTCTATCCTCTCTCTCCTCTCTCTCCTCTATCCTCTCTCTCCTCTCTCTCCTGTCACTCCTCTCTCTCCTCTCTCTCCTGTCTCCTCTCTCCTCTCCTCTCTCTCATCTCTCCTCCCTCTAGAAAAACTAACAAATGCTCCTCTTTCTCAAACATATTGGAGTCATGTAAGACTGTCTGTCCTCTCTCTCATCTCTCCTCTACTCTCTCTCCTCTCTCCCTTCTCTCCTCTCTCTCCTCTATCCTCTCTCTCCTCTCTCTCCTCTATCCTCTATCCTCTCTATCCTCTCTCTCCTCTCCTCTCTCCTCTCTCTCCTCTATCCTCTATCCTCTATTCTCTCTCTCCTCTCTCTCCTCTCCTCTCTCTCCACTCTCTCCTCTCTCTCCTCTCCTCTCCTCTCTCTCCTCTCTCTCCTGTCTCTCCTCTCTCTCCTCTATCCTCTCTCTCCTCTCTATCCTCTCTCTCCTCTCTCTCCTCTCTCTCCTCTATCCTCTCTCTCCTCTCTCTCCTGTCTCTCCTCTCTCTCCTCTATCCTCTCTCTCCTCTCTCTCCTGTCACTCCTCTCTCTCCTCTCTCTCCTCTATCCTCTATCCTCTCTATCCTCTCTCTCCTCTCCTCTCTCCTCTCTCTCCTCTATCCTCTATCCTCTATTCTCTCTCTCCTCTCTCTCCTATCCTCTCTCTCCTCTCTATCCTCTCTCTCCTCTCTCTCCTCTCTCTCCTCTCTCTCCTGTCTCTCCTCTCTCTCCTCTATCCTCTCTCTCCTCTCTATCCTCTCTCTCCTCTCTCTCCTCTCTCTCCTCTATCCTCTCTCTCCTCTCTCTCCTGTCTCTCCTCTCTCTCCTCTATCCTCTCTCTCCTCTCTCTCCTGTCACTCCTCTCTCTCCTCTCTCTCCTCTATCCTCTATCCTCTCTATCCTCTCTCTCCTCTCCTCTCTCCTCTCTCTCCTCTATCCTCTATCCTCTATTCTCTCTCTCCTCTCTCTCCTATCCTCTCTCTCCTCTCTATCCTCTCTCTCCTCTCTCTCCTCTCTCTCCTCTCTCTCCTGTCTCTCCTCTCTCTCCTCTATCCTCTCTCTCCTCTCTATCCTCTCTCTCCTCTCTCTCCTCTATCCTCTCTCTCCTCTCTCTCCTGTCTCTCCTCTCTCTCCTCTATCCTCTCTCTCCTCTCTCTCCTGTCACTCCCTCTCTCTCCTCTATCTCTCCTCTCTCCTCTCCTCTCTCTCATCTCTCCTCCCTCTACAAAAACTAACAAATACTCCTCTTTCTCAAACATATTGGAGTCATGTAAGACTGTCTGTCCTCTCTCTCATCTCTCCTCTACTCTCTCTCCTCTCTCCCTTCTCTCCTCTCTCTCCTCTCTCTCCTCTCTCCCTTCTCTCCTCTGTCCTCTCTCTCATCTCTCCTCTCCTCTCTCTCCTCTCCTCTCTCCTCTTTCCCATCTCTCTGCCATGTCTCTGCGGATGAAAGCAGTGGGTCCTTCTCTCCGGAGTCCTCCCCCGCCTCCGTGTGATGGCCGTAATCATAGTTATTCAGAGAGGGCCAGAGCAGGGCGCGGGCGCATATACACACCACAGGGGGCGCTGGTCAGCATGATTACAGTCATTTTGTGGTCCATGCAGGATGTCCAGAATCACAGCAGGGCCTCTTACACAGCCTCTTTCTCTGTGTGTGTGTGTGTGTCTCTCTGCCTCTCTCTGTCTCTCTCCTTGTGTGTCTCTCTCTCTGTTTCTCTTTCTCTCTTTGCCTCTCTCTCTCTCTAGTCTCTCTGTGTCTTTCTCTGTCTCTCTTTCTGTCTATCTCTCTGAGTGTGTCTCTCTCTCTCTGTAGTGTCGGTCTCTCTCTTCTCATCTCTCTCCTGTCTCCGCTCCGCTCACTCTTCTCTCTCTGTCTCTCAGTGTGTCTCTCTCTCTCTTTCTCTGTCTCTCTATTAGTCCTGGTTTAGTCTAGTATAAAAACATAGATTTCAAGTATTATTTACTTATTTCTTAAACATTTTTGAGAATTTTTGTTATCAAAATATCGCATCACAAACTTATTTTATCTAAAAGTCACAAAAAGTTGTCTGGAAATAAAAACACTGCTAAAAAAAATCACTGCTCAGACGTTTTAAAACTAGAAAAATAATCTTACATGACAAACTAAATAACAAAATGTTTTTGTTATTTTGTAGTAAATAAATCTTACCAAGAATTTACATTTTTCAGTGTATGTATTGTGAAGGTTCAGAAAGACCCCCAACCCAAATATAAAAACACCTTCTTCTGAACATAAATATAATCTCGCTACTTTCTTTCCACTGACCGAGGATTGGATCTCGTCGACAATGAGTCATGACTGCATCTTTCTCGATCACGATTTATTCCCCGTACTAAGCCTTATGTAATCCACAATAATATATTAAGCCAGAGCTAAATCCCATGAACCTCTCCTCTCTTCTTCTGCTTTCTTTTCTCCCACTCACAGACCCGAGATTGGCGGGGGTTCGCCCTGTGTTCAGTCCCTGTGTTCGCTTACCTTTCTCCGCAACAAAGAGGATTACAACCCAGGGCATTAATTTTTCACCAGTACTTGTAAGGTATAGAGATCTTCGCCTCATTGCTACTTACACTGCAAAAAAATGATAAAATATGAGGTAATAATTGCTTGAATCTAGTGGTTTTTTTTTTACCCTGATATGATTACATTCTGCATTTTGCAAAAATGTGGTCAAATGTATTTCAATTGGAGCACCTTATAACAATGTTGCTTGTCACTTTGGCAAATATGATCTTGTTTTTGATAATGCACAAGAAATGTCTCCCTTGGAATGAGTAAACAAAGCCACAGTTTTTGAAATAATAGTAATTTATTTTGTCCCATTGGAGAATTTTGCTTTAAGAGAGTCAAAATGTGCTCAAATTAGAACAAAAACAACTTGATTCAAGCCATTATTACCTCATATTTTATAATTTTTTGCAGCGTGACTGTGTTAAAACAAGATTCTCCAACGGGACCAAACTATTTAGTATTATTTCAAGAATATAATACTAATTTTCTCATTCCAAGGGATACTTTTCTTGTATCTTTTTAACCCAAATCTTGCAACTCCTGTTTATTTATTTTTCCTCACTTTTTGCAGAGCGCAGAATGTACTCAAATTAGGTTAAAAACTGGGATAAAAAAATCTGTATTTTTGACATATTTTTTGCAGTGTCCTCTTTAATTCCAGCACTGGGCTTGTTTAAACCACTACACTCGCTCACAGGGTCGTCGCTCTCGCTCGTCTCTTCTCCCCCTCATATATATTTTTTTTTCTACCCTGCCCGTTTTTTTCCTTTTTTTGGTGTTTTTTGCCCCCACCAGTTGCCTGTTCAATGTTCACACAGCTAGAAATCGTGGGGTCTACAGGGGGGGGGGGAGTCCGGGTCCTTCTCATCGACTCTCGAGGTTTGTGAAACTTGCCCAGCGGCGGGGGGACTATAGGGGGGCATTATACAACGACAATGAAAGCGCTTTTTTCCCCTTTCGGGAGCCCTATCACAGAGACACACATGCGCTGGGTTAAACATGGGATGTATAAATGGCAGGCGAGATTATCTAGGGACCACAAGAAAAAATCACCACAATAACGCCCGCTTGCCAACACCCACCCCTCCCCTCTCTCCTCTATCAGAAGCCGCACAGCAACAGGAGCGATGGGGGCCCTATATTGTGGCGGACCATGGGGGTCTACCAGCCGAGGTCTTGGAATGGCTGGTCTCGGAATGGCTGCCCGGTCGCAGGGATGGAGATGGAGGAGGAGGAGGGAAAAAGCGCCGCGCCAATGGTTCTTAAATCTCTTTTTTGTTTCCTTTCCCTCTCTGCTGCGTCGCTTGTGTCTCTGGGGAAGCTGTGTTCTCACTGTTATTGGATGTGGCCACAAACTGCAGATTTAGAAAACGACTTTGCATCCAAATATGTTGAAATGGGTGGAATTTTGTGGGATTATTTAGGGATTGTGTTGGCGTATTTTAGTTTGGTTGAATGGTATGTGTCGGCGTTTTAAGATGGTGGTTCATGTTGCGATCAAAGATACAATAAAAAACACAAATTATTAGTCATGTGTTGTTTTTGGCGGAAAAAATACATTCAAAATGAGTTTATTTATATAGTACATTTACTCAACCCATGTACCTTTTGGTTCTTTGTAATTGTGTGACTTTTCTTGGATCTATAAGTAGTTTTTTTATGTCATTTTTATGAGAACATGTTTTAGTATAGAAATGTGACTTTAGGTGGCGGGGGGTGGGTAGGGGTGGGGGGGGAGGTACGGTAACCTTTGGCATGGGTCCTATCTATCTTATTTTACCTCTTGCTAAATCGGGTGAAAACTGAAACATTTTTTAGGCAAGTTTCACTCGAGATTTTAAATATTCTCTTTTGATTTAATAATTCAACTAACATTTAAATGGGACTTTGTATGAAAATTGGTCATCTGCCTCCTTATGGACCGAGTGGGGCCAATGCCTCGAATGCCTCTGGGTGTTTTTTATTCTATTGCCATTATCTGGTGTTTGAATACTTCTGTTCAAACAACCCTGACCCAGCAAACAACAGTAAAGTGCCCCACAAAGATTAAACATTGTATATTTAACTATGACTCTTCAATTACATATTTTTCTAAATATTTGGCCCAGTTGAGATTGAATCCAAACTTAATAGAAAATAGTAGGACATTCATTTGTCAAAATACACACACAAAAGTAATTGACACCCTGATGTAAGGCATTCAAATCAATCAGTCAAAGAGGAACTGTTTTTTGTGAATGAAATTAAGATAACTTGCAAAAAGTATACACGTTGGATTGAATGGGAGCAGTCAAAACGACGGCCTTGGGAGTTGTAGTAATAGTAGTAGTAGTAGTAGTATTAAAGCTATCATCCAGAAATGGTTAAAATTAAACACCAAGGTCTGTTTTTCGATGAGGGAACAAAATAAAATGGCGCCACCTTTTCTCTCTCTCAATCTCAAGTCCCTCGTGTTGCGTTAATTGAAATACCTCGCAGTTATCGAACTCTTTCCTTAAAAAGATGAAATCCTCTACTTCAAAATAATTCTTTCTTTATGTTCCTCTTCCAGCGTGGTTCACATCGGGGTCAAACAAATAATTTTGTTTTTTCCGCCGAAACCCATTTCTCATGGCAGCTGTTTACCCAGCCACCTTAATGCCTTTACCTTGGGTTATTTGCTGCATCGCGACCTTAAAAATATAAACTTGAACAGCGGCGGCATGAAAACCTGTCCTCAGCTTCCTTCGCCAAACCGCCTTGGCTTTGATAACGTCGCTATAATATTTCTTCAATGCATTCGTCGTCATCTATATTTTAATTATCGCACAAAAATGAGGAGTTGCAATTAGGTCATGTAATTTAGCAGCGTGGCGAGTACGGGGAAAGGTTGGAGAAACAGCCGGGATTTATCATTACACAGAAACTCGCAGACTTGGGCTGTGATAAAATGTGGTTGCCGTAATAAACTACATGTTTAAGTCATACTGTATGTTGTACTTTGTGGAACTTTAAAATGGAAGTCTGCGTTTGGGATATGTCTATAGCAGGGACGTCACAGTCAAATACAGGGGGGCAAAAAAGTAGTCATGCATTTTTTCCCACTTATAAAGATGAGGGAGGCCTGTCATTTTCATCATAGGTAACCCTCAACAATGAGAGACAGAAAAAAAAAAAAAATGGTGGTGCTAATGTACAGATGTAAACGTACTGCTGCTAATGTACAGATGCTAACATATAACTACACTTTGCTTGCACTCAAATACACAGTACGTTATTCTTGCCTCTTATTTTGCCAAATGTAGAACTTTTACACTTCTTTTTATTATTATTTTCAAGACTGAGTTTTTTTTTACTTGTTATTTGATTAAAGAGTTAGAAAAGGGTTTTATTTTAATTAGTATAGCTATTGTTCACTTAACGCGTGCCGTGTTACTCCACCCGTCTCCACCCGTCTCACCCGCAAAAACGTCAGAATCACCAGGGACCCTACGCACCCATCACACAGGCTCTTCAGGGTAATGCCTTCAGGGAGGAGACTGCAGAATTTATGGAACAGTTCCATCCATCCATCCATCTTCTTCCCCTTAATCCATTTCTGGGTTGGGGGGGTGGCAGTCAGAGCTGCACCCAATTCACTGATCCTCTGCAGGTGGTGAGTCCACAGGAGGACGGCTGCTCTGTCAGTGACAATACGGCCTTGATTTTTCAGCGGGGGCTTCAGGCAATGCAGGGTTAAGTGTCTTGCCCAAGGACACAACGACAGCAGTCATCAGTGGGAGTCGGTGGAGAAGGTCCCGTGGTGGACTTGAACCCACGACCTTCAGGCTCAAAGGCCAGTGCTCTACCAACTGAGCTACTGTCGCCCCTGGAACAGTTCCAGTCGACTTAAAATCAGTTTAATTCACAAGGCCATCAGGAAGCTGAACTCCCTGCCCTCCCTCCCACCCCTCTTCGCATACCCCCCCTCCACAATCAAGGATGCGAGAAATATCATTTCAAACCATTCACTTGGTTTGACAAATAAAAATCTTGAAATCGTGTGTTCCTCATTCCTACTGTTCTGTAACCGCTGATGCAACACTGACATTTCTCCACTGTGGGATGAATAAACGATCTCTTCATCTTATTCTTAAAATAAGTATTTGGTCGCCTACAAACGACAACGACAACAACAACTTATTCTTGTATAGCCCTCAATCACAACAGTATAATCTCAGCTACAGAACAAGGACCGATGCCACGCAGCGGCTGCAGAACAAACAAGCAAGATTTATGGCTCTCACAGACCTGTAACTCCGTCTTTAAGAGGCACCTCTGTCCAAGGACACCAGAAACAAAATTGTAGACCTGCACCAGGCTGGGAAGACTGAATCTGCAATAGGTAAGCAGCTTTGTGTGAATAAATAAACTGTGGGAACAATTATTAGTCCCAAAAAACAAATTTGCTACAAGCCGAGGGCCGGACTGGTTAGATTTTTATTAAAACATATTAAAACATGAGACAGCCGCTTTCCCTCTTTGAATAACAACAAAAATAACTTGTCATTTTATTATCCTGTTTTATGTCTATGCCGTTGCTGCTGGGTGAACTGTTTTTAGCTTTTTTTTCTTCTCTCGTTCACTCGGGGTAGATTCGCAGAACTCTGAGTGTGCATGGAAGTCTGGGCTTTCTCTGATGCAGGATTTGACGCCACACAAGCTTGAGCGAGTCGAGAGGCAGAGACAAGCTCCAGACTCAGACTTGGATGTCATCGCGCTGCAGGTAAATGCGACGAACCGTGTCTTTTTGGGGCCAGAGGCAGAGAGTGGAGAGAGCAAGTCTGAGACCTCTGGATATGGGAGTAGTGTGCTTGGAAAATAACCAGAGAGAGAGATACCAAAGAGAGAGACCAGAGAGAGAACAGCGAGAGACCAGGGAGAGAATAGAGAGACAGAGAGAGACCAGAGAGGGTTCTTTTGGGGACCTTTCGGCAGATAGTAGAGAGAGCCAGTCGGATACCCACGGATATGGGAGTAGTGAAATTAAGGCTAAAAAGAGATGATTTCTGGATGTTTTTGCCAATGTTTAGAGAATAACTATTATGACCCCAATTCAGATCTGTATTTTCACACTGCACTAATAAAGTCCTGGTCTCGGACCTCAGTGCGGATACTGCAAAGATATTTGACCTGGTGTCAGTTTAATCATATCGATGAAGGCAGATGTGTCCAAACCTTTTAGTAAGTTCAACAGACTTGTTTAGGTTCTGACAACATAACATAATAATAATAAATCTGTATTTGTGTAGCACTTTTAAAAATAGTGTTTGCTAAGCGCTGCAAAATAAGCATAAAACAGTCAAAAACAGTCACAAAAACAAGAAATACAGCAGAGTAAAGCAGACAGACAAAAAGAAGGACACAAAAAGACAATGTGGGACAATACATTACGTCTGAAACTGGCTTAAATTGGGTATGAAGAATGAATAACGACGGTAGGGATAACCTCAAAATGTACATCAGTTTCATAAATAAATTACCGTAATTTTCAGACTTTGGTAATTACAGTATATGATTTTAATTCTACCTTTAAAATAACGGATACATTCATACATTTCTTCATACATTCAGTTCTGAGTCTATGCGAGGCCTCTGGTGTTGCATCTGTCTATATTTAACAATGTATACAATTCATATTTCATTTGTTCAGACTTAAAAGCCACTTAAATCTACCTTTCCTCTGTCGCTCCACGAAACAATGGCATTTCCCCGACCACATCCATCATACTCCTCTTTCAATGCATTCCTTACGTCTTTGTTTACCGAGGTCAAAAGTGTATCTATTCAGCGATCAATTAAGATGAATCACACAACGGAGATTAAGACACGCAACCAACCCAAGCTTTGTCGAGCCCTTAACAAAGAAAGACACTGTAAAAAATGATCAAATACAAAGTAATAGTGGCTTGAATCAATGTTTTTTTTATGTTCATTGATCGGATTAAAAACCAGGGCCTTTTTTTGGCGAGTCATGCAGGGTTCGAAATCTTTGCCTTTTTGCTTTCTTACACTGAAAAAAAATATGAAATATGAGGTAATAATCTACAGTTTTTTTATCTCAATCTGTGCACATTCTGACTGTTTAATATTTGCCAATGGGACAAATCCGTTTAATTTCAAGAACTGGTACATTTTTATCCTTCCAAGGGAGACATAATAATGATAATCAATCAATCAATCAATCCTTTATTATCTCACACAGATGGAGAAATTCAGTATAATAATAATAATAATAATGCATTGGT